AGATAGAGACAGAGAGAGAGAGATAGAGAGAGAGAGAGATAGAGAGAGAGAGAGAGAGGGAGGGAAGGAGAGAGAGAGATGCATAAGCACACACACACACACACACACACACACACACACACACACACACACACACACACACACACACACACGCACGCGCGCGCGCGCGCGACTACTACTGCCACCACCACCACCACGACAACCATCACACCTCGGCGTAGACAAAGGGGATTGCGTTGAGCAGGGCCGTCGCTGCTGGCGATGCGGAGGAGTGTGATAACCGCTGGTGGTGCAATGGGCCCCGCACACGCGTCCACGCACCAGCAAGCCTGTCAAGCATGTTTAGCGACGTCACCCAGTGCTGCTGTCGGCTGATGGAGCAGACGTGTAGATATGGCAGAGGCATGTGTAGCGTTTGCAAGATGGAATGAGTTGCACAGAGGAGACGATGACAAGTAACAGTGCCGTTCACACACCGAAATATCCCAGGCAATCATCAGCGTGGCATGCAATTACAAACAGCCGACACACACACACGCACACACACACATTCCCACTACGCATGCATCAGAGACATGATAGCTGGACGTACAGTCCGACGACGAGACGGGAGAGGTCAAGAAGCCCGCGTGACGTTTGCCGAACAGCGGTAGACACAGCAAGCAGGGTCATGCACCTGACACAGGCAATGAGAGGAGGATATGGCGAAAAAGGGTGGTTAGCAGTGATCGTATGCAAAAGGATGTGAGTTGAACGCGTGCGTGCGTGTTCGTGTTCGTGTATGTGTGTGGAGGAGCTTGCTGCTGGCGAAATATCACCGCAGGTTGCACCCACACCACAACACCACCCTCCAAAGCGGCAACCATCCCGTGGTGTGTACCGTTGCGAGATGTCTGTGACAGCTGCGTGCCAGTGGGCGACGATGGTGCTGGCGGCGTTTGCAATTGCGCTCGCAACTGGCGACTCATCAAACCTGAACACAGCAGAGTAGATGATGGCCGAGAGATGGTGGGATGCGTACGTGTGTGTGTGTGTGTGTGTATGTGTACGTGTTCGTGTGGGTTAAGTTTGCGCCGGTGGAGTTCATGCCCAAGCAGCTGTGGCACACACACACACACACATGCAAATACATTCAGCACATGAGTGACTCACGCTGGAGGGGCGGCGCAGATGCGGCGGAGGGCGTGGATTGCATTGGTGGTGTGGAGCAGTCGCCCCAGCAGCCGCTTGCATGACGATGACAGCAAGCACACACACACACACACATACAGACACACACACAGACACACACAGACACGCACACACGGACATACACACGGACATACACACGCACGCGCACACAGAGAAGTGAGTCACGTCGTCACGCAGTTACGTATGTGCAGTGGCACCAGCAATCGCAAAGAGAGCAAAGACATGAGCACATACCCGAGTCGCAGCCGCAGAGATGGTGGGAAGCGGCGGCAGCGTGTGCGGAAGGTGGAACGTGTCTGTCTCTCGGTTGTACTCAAGCACGGTCACGCGCGTGCACCCCTGCATGGCTGCACAAATGTCCATCACGACCCGTCGCTCGACTGCCCCGGGGCTCTCGCTCGCTTTCGTCTCTGCCATGCGTCGTCTCGCTGCAGCATGCGCAAACTCCGTAAACACGGCCAGGTCAATGTCCATATCCCATTGGTCCACGCCCTCATCCTCATCCTGCGATTGTTCGTGCTCGTGCTGCTTCTGGATGGTGTCCACTGTGGTGTGGCCGCTAAGCGACAAGGACTCACGTTGCTCCGTAGCTGTCTCGTCCCGTGCCCTTGTTTCTCCTGCGTGACGGCTGCGTTGGCTTGGTTCCTGTTCATGCTGTTGCTCTTCATCACTGTCGCTCTCATCGGTCATTTCCTCAAGCTCCGGGATGGTTGGTTGTGACTCGATTGGTCTGCACGAGATGGCGTGAGGGATTGCAAGTGAGCAGGAGAGCAGATGTAGAAGTACTAGCGCAATGCTAGGCCAGCGGAGCGGTATATACAAGAGGGAAAAGAACGCATACAACACAAAACAGCACATGACGCAGCATATACAGCACACAGCACAGCCCACGACACGCCACCGCACATGCACAACGCAACACACGACACGACACAACCAGCACAAACCACGACCCTGAGCGCACACAACCGCAGCTCACCGCGTTCCGTTGATGTAGAGTTGAAGGCCTTCGAGTGGCGATGGCTCAGGCTCGTGCGTCTCCTCTGTCGTGAGGTGCACTGGTTGGGCTGATGGTTGGTAGTGGTGATGCATGGGGTTGTTTGCCAGCTCCAGCAGAAGCATGAGGAGCGAGTAGTGTTCTCGCGTTGGTTCGCGAGACACACCATCGAGCGAATGCGACAGGAAGTTGGCTACCGATGCTTGCAGCTGGGATGCCAGTTGCATGTGCCCGTTGATCCAGAACTTCTCTGCCACCGCGGCGTATCTTCGCTCGACGTACTGTTCGTTGACGTCGAGGAAGCTGTGCTGCGCCAGCATGCGCTTGGTGTTTGGCGATACGTGGCGCACCAGTGCGCGAGCCAGCACTCTGCGCTGGCCAATGGCTGCAGCGTGGCCTGCATCAGCATCGGGATCAGCTGCGTCGTCCCTCCTCAGGTCTGCAGTAAGCTCCTGCTCGCACACACGCTGCGCCAGCTGCTGCAGCGCTTCCTGCACCCTCGCCTCTGTCTGCTGTCGGAAACGGCTTGCGCTCATCTTGGGCCGTTGCACTGCTGAACAATACATGAAAATTTACCCAATTTTCTACATCCAGTGTGTGTTTGTGCTGCTTGCTCTCCTTTGCTTTGTGTGTGTATCTTGAGAAGCGAGATGGTGTTGTTGAGTGGTCTTCGTCGGTACAGCACTGGTGCTGGACGCGCCAAGATGCTGGGTGTGCTGCGTGAGGAGCTTGAGGCCATCAAGGCTGCAGGCACCTGGAAGACAGAGCGCATCATCACGTCCCCGCAATCCCACAAGATTTCCGTGCAGGCCCGCGACAAGCCCGTGAGTTGTGGTGTGTGTTTGTGGTGCGTGAGTTGTGGTGTGTGTTTTTGTGTGTACGTTGTGTGCGTGTGTGTGAATATGTGAACGCTTTGTGTGTGTACATTGTGTGTGTGCGTGTGAATATGTGAACGTTGTGTGTGTACTTTGTGTGTGTGCGTGTGTGCATCGGCAATAGCTGACTCTGCAGCATGCCAACTTGCTTGCTTGAGTGGTGTTAGGTCATCAACATGTGCGCGAACAACTACCTCGGGCTGGCCGACAACCCGGAAGTGATTGCTGCGGCAAAGCACGCCATGGATACGCATGGCAGCGGTCTCGCATCTGTGCGCTTCATCTGCGGCACGCAGGACATTCACAAGGGCCTGGAATCTCGCATTGCCAAGTTTCACCAGATGGAGGTGTGGCTGCTATTGCGCAATCGGGTTTCTCTGTGTGTACGTGTACGTATGTGTGTCTTATGTTTGTTGTGTGTTTTGTGTTTGTTGTGTGTTTTGTGTTTGTTGTGTGTGTGTGTTTGTTGTGTGTGTGTGTGTGTGTGTGTGTGTGTGTGTGTGTGTGTGTGTGTGTGTGTGTGTGTGTGTGTAGTGTGCGCGTCGGCTCTCTCTCTCTCCCTCTGTATCTCGCTTGTGTTTGTGCTGTGCAGATGGTCTGACTGACTTTGATGCACATACGTATCGCCATCATCACCCGTGCAACCCCAAGGATGCCATCCTGTTCCCCAGCTGCTTCGACGCCAACGCGGCAATCTTCGAGGTCCTCCTCACCCCCGAGGATGCGGTGTTCAGCGACGAGCTCAACCACGCCTCCATCATCGACGGCATCCGCCTCTGTACGTCATCTGCGCATGTTTGTGTTCATGTGTGTGCATTGGTGTGTGTGTGTGTGTGAATTGGTGTGTGTGTGTGTGTGTGTGAATTGGTGTGTTCATGGGTGTACATGTTTGTGTTCATGGGTGTACATGTTTGTGTTCATGGGTGTACATGGGGTGTGTGTGTACTTGTTCATGTACTTGAGTACACGTTTGCCACGTTCGTATCCCGACTCCCAACACGCACATTTGTCTGCAACTGATGCGTCTTCACCACCCTCACCACCGCCACGTGTACATTCCATGATACTGCACCCCCCCCTCAATATGCGTGCTGTGGCGTGAGCAGGCAAGGCGCAGAAGAACCGCTTCAAGCACCGCGATATGGGGGATCTTGAGGAGAAACTGCGCAGCAGCGACGCCCGCCTCAAGCTGGTGCGACAAGCATACACACACGCACACACACGTGTGCACTGCTGTTGCTGTTGCTGTTACTGCTACTGTTACTGTTGCTGTTGTTGCTGTTGGTGCGTGTTGACATGCTGTGGAGGTTGAAAGGGCGGGTGCTAAACTGGCTGCTTTGCTTTGACGAATGCTCTCACCCACGCGTGCTCATTTTCACGAGTGCAACTGCACACTGACCGCCGCCACCATCACCACCATCACCACCATCACCACCATCACGACCATCACCGCCATCACCACCATCACCACCATCACCACCATCACCACCATCACGTCACTTTTGCTCGGGCAGATTGTGAGCGATGGCGTGTTCAGCATGGATGGCACCATCTGCCACCTCAAGGAGATGTGCGATCTTGCTGAGGAGTACGAGGCCGTGGTCCTCATTGACGAGTGCCACGCTACAGGCTTCTTCGGCAAGGTCGGACCTGTGGAATCATGTGTGTGTGTGTGTGTGTGCAGAAGGAGTTGAGCATGCTTCAATATGACTCATGCGTGCATGTATGTCCTGCGTTGATGGTGCTGTTTCCTCATCGTCAGACCGGCCGTGGAACCCCGGAATACTTCGACGTCATGGGTGCGAACACAAACGACTTGCGCCCCACCTCCAGCGATCCTCATCATAATTACTGGCATGCGTGCTGCCTTTGCAGTTGGTGTTGCGTTGCAGTCGTCAACACGTCTCACTGACTTCGTGTGTGTCTGTTCGTACTTTGACACGTGTGTGTGTGTGTGTGTGTGTGTGTGTGTGTGTGTGTGTGTGTGTGTGTGTGTGTGTGTGTGTGTGTGTGTGTGTGTGTGTGTTCGCGCCATTTCCAGACCGCGTTGACCTGATCAACTCGACCATGGGCAAGGCCCTCGGCGGCGCTATGGGTGAGCTGTAGGACGCACGACCACCAGCACAGCTTGCCTCAACAACTGCCACGTCACGCATACACACACGCACACACGCACACACACACGCAGGCACACACACACACACACACACACACACACACACACACACACACACACACACACACACACACACACACACTCGATATTAGAGAAGGACATGGACATGAAGTGGCTGGGTGGTTGTGGCTGTAGTGATCATTGTCGTAAGTCGACATAATGAGCGAGCAGGTCGCATGAGTGAGTAGCGATGAGTGCACTGTGCGATCGCACGATCGACCTAGTTGCGGAGAACAAGTTAGTGTGTAGTATGCAGTATGCGGACACGTATTATAGAGTAGATAAGACGAGAAGGGATGAGGAGTGTAAAATACCGATGGTGCTGAGGATGCTAGCTCATCGCTT